ATGCTCGGTAAGAACTTCCAATACTAGCATAACAAAATTATGAGCTTAGTGATGACCCTTAGTGTAATTCTACACTGATGGGTAAATTCTTCTTTTACCCCACTTTGACTTCTCACGCTTGTTGTAGCACCATCGCACATGTCTTTAGTCGCATGATAATATGCAATTTTTACTCCTTTTTTCTCTAACACCTTCCATTATACTTCTCGTGGTACCCTGTCATATGCCTTTTCCAAATCAATAAAAGTCATGTGTAAATCTTTCTTCTCACCTTGGTACCTCTCCACCATTCTCCTCTCCAAGCATATTGCCTCTTTCGGACATAAAACAACAGTGGTTCTCTGACACCAAAATCTCTTGTCTAAAACCTCTGTTCAACCACTATTTCCCACAACTTCATCGTATGACTCATGAGCTCAATCCCTCTATAGTTTCCACAACTCTGAATATCCCCCTTATTCTTGTAAATAGAAACCAAGATGCTCTTCTTCCATTCGTTGGGCATCTTGCTAGATCCTAAAATTTTGTTAAAAAGCTTAGTTAGCCACCAAATTCTTTTTTTTCCTAAACACTTCCAAACTTCAATTGAAATGTTGTCTGGATTCCATTCTTCATCAATTTTAGGGCCTCCTTAACTTTAATTTCTTGAATTCTCCGATAATATTTGAAGTTTTGGTCCTCCGCCCTCATGTGTAGCCTATCAAAGCATGAGAGATTCGCATGTCCCTCATTAAACAAATCATTGAAGTAGCTCTTCCACCTTCTATTTATGCTTCCATCGGAGACTAAAACTTCACCATTCTTATCTTTAATGCACTTAAATTGGTCCAAATCTTGCATCCTTCTTTCTCGACCCTTTGCAATCTAGTAAATACATCTTAACCCTTCTTCCGAACCCAACGACAAGTAAAACCCTTCATATCCTCTCATTCTTGCTTCACTTACAGCCACTTTTATCTCCATCTTAGTCATCTTATACCTTTCCCCACTTTCCACATTACGCCATTAAGATCACTCCTTGAAATGCTCTTGTTTTACCTTTACCTTCTCTTGCACACCAGTGTCCCACCAACATGGTTCTTTGTCTCTTCCATTAGTACCTCTAGTTTCTCTAAGGGTTTCTTCTGCCACCTTTCCAATAGTATCTGCTATATTACACCATAACTCTTCCGAACTTCCATGTCCATCCCGTTTTGCTTCTTCTGCTAAACGCTGTTTGAAATTCCTTTGTTTATCACTTTTAAGCTACCACCATCTAGTCCTTGGGTTCCTCTCTTGGCGATTTCTCTTTACCTTTTGTTGGATATGAAAATCCATAACAAGGACTCTGTGTTCGGTGGTCTAGGAATATTTTTGCAATTAGTACAAAAATTTTTATCTGATTTACTTAGCAGAAAGTTATCAATTTGAGAGCATAACCTCCCACTCTTATAAGATATAAGATGCTCGTCTATCTTTTGAAAACAAGTGTTTGCAATAAGATTTAAGAAGCTGGAAGGACGAGGAGAAGTCTAAGATGGTTATACCTTCTACGTTTGCTAAAGCCAGCCCTCCATGGGAAGAGGTAGAATTGGATTGGAGTGCAGGACTGCTACTCCTAGGATTGCATCTCCAAAGAGATGAGAGTTTGAGCAGAAGACCACCACATCCAAACCAAGGACTAAAGGGGACAATGGGGTGGGGGTGGACTCAATCTCCCTAGCTCTCACAAACATAAATGGCCCCTAAGGAGCTGTTATTATCATATTCGGCACTTAATTGTGAAATTGCAGTATTGATATAATTTTTTTGGATAGCAACACACAAAGGATTGCACTTGATACATTATCATATTTGAGAATTCAAACATATACTGCATATATGTTTCTAAATACTCTGAAGCAAACATTCTAGGCCAGTCAAACTGTGATAGTAGAATTTCTTTTTAAGCATCAATGAGAGAGTGGGTAAAGGGGAAACCGTACTTTCTGCATTTCCATATTGCAGCTGCTGGAACTTCAACGGGCGGCAATCCTTCCTGCTTCCATCCAACCAGCGCATCAAATGCATTTAAGTGAATTTTAACACCACTGGTCACATGCTTAAGGGTCAGAGAATTCTCCCCAAATATCATCTCTGGCAAGTGGGATGTCGAAAGTCGTTCTTCCCATCTGCGATACAAATTTCACATAGCGATTAGTTCAATCCCAAAACCATTATGTAAATGAGAAATGAGCTCCCAGTTTGGTTGCACTGGCAATTCATATTCGAAACGGTGTGTATACAGATATGGATGTATGTAAGAAAGAAACTATAGAACTATACCCTTTCTGCGCATTATGAAAATCTTTTTTTCAACAAATGTTTCATCCATTACAATCAAAGGCTATTAGAAAGGGGCCTGTTTTCCGGTTACTCCGATTGCTAATTAGCCAAGTTGAATTGGTTACAAATTGAAATGGACTATCTGCTAACAAGTACTCCATTGTTTTCTCGAAATTGATTTCCGTTTTAACGAAATCATAGCAGCAAGAGATTTACTTCAACAAAAAGTGAATTAGAACCGCAAAACCAGAGAGAGGGGGAGAGAGAGAATACTGTTGGCGTTGGGCGGAATTAAGGATAGAGCACTTGCGAGACTCGATTTCCCAACCGTGAATTCGAAGCCCTTGCCGCCCGTCGCTGAGTAGCTCCCCTCCGGCCGCCTTCACTTCTTTCTCGTTGCCCTCCCACTCCATCTTTTTTCAGATTACCAATTTTTTTTAACGAAGTGATGAAACGGAAGTACACTCTCAATATCCCATTGGAACTAAGGGCCCCTCTCAACTAATATGAGTTTCTATATCTCTAAATATCCCATTTTTGTATGTTGAGATAAAAATAATTTAAATTTGATATCTTCAAATGTCATAAAATTTCCAAATTAAGTCTTTCAATATCTTCGGAATATGAGAGATATTAATGCGGGAATTTGATATCTCTCAGTTGTCAATTATCTCTGCTACCAGTACGAAAGCCAACCACCCTGTTATCTGTAACTCTGTCAATCACTAATTAAATTATGACTTTACATCTTTCCAAATATCTTTATTTCAGAATAACCTTAAATAGAAGTAAAACATAGAAAAATATCAAAATAGGAGTTTAAAATGTGATAACGTGACACTGTAGCTTTATTCTTTTGGATTAGAAAAATTAACTTTCAACTTTTTCTAAATCCTTCTAGTTTCTTTCAACTTCTTCTATCTCTTTCCAGTTTCTTCCAACAATGACTTAAAAATGTATTTATATGTGACGAATATAAAATAATATTATATATCCAAGTTTATAAATATCACATCAAACACAAACAATGATGGATTCTTTTTCATCCAAATTAGAATTTTCTTACATATATATTTAGCTGATCATTTAATTAAGTGACTTTTTAACACATAAGTTCTTCCAACATTTTCCAACTCCTTCCAACTTTTGCCAGCTCTTTCCAATTTCTTTCAACTTCTTCCAATTTCTTCCAACATCCAGCTATGAATTTTCAACCTAAAAGAACAGAGCATGTGTATAAGAGTTTCATACTCCATAATATCTTTTGGTCATGATTGACACTGTAAATGTATGTTAACTCTTATTTTGAGAATAAAAATAGAGAACTTCTATTTTGGTATGTTTTCAATGCTTTTACTTATTAGAATATAAGAAACATTTCCTGGGCCACAACCACAAGCTTGAGCTTTTGGTTGAATTGGTTCGTTTGACTTGGTATCAGAACCTTGTTGGCTAAGAAGTCACGAGTTCGAAACTCAGCGCCACCTAGTTTAAAAAATTAAGGTTTCACGTGCGAAGCTCAAACAAAGACTACGCTTGCACGTGAGGGGGCGTGTTAGAATATTAGAAACATTTCCTGGGCCACAACCACAAGCTTGAGCTTTTGGTTGAATTGGTTCGTTGACATTACTCTTACTTTAGTCTTTTAAGAAATTGACCTAAATAGGATTAAAACATAAAGAAAATATCAAAATAGAAGCTTTACGTTTTTATTCTCTAAATATAAGTTCGTATTATGGTAAAAGAATAAAAAACATAGTACTCCACCACTCCTATATTGTTATAATTTCAATGTTTTACACTTACTTTAATCTTTTCCCTTGTCTTTCTCCCATTTTGAAACTCATATCGTTTTTTAGATTTTAAAATTCGTATCATATCATATCTCCAATACTCAACAAACATGCCCTAGGAGCTAATAATTTCTCCATTCGACCATTCCGTCTTACTCCATCCGGTCAAAAAACAATGCCAAGTTGTTATTTCGGCTTCTCGATAACTTTTGTTCGTTAACTCATTTTAATTGATTATTTGATAAAATAAAATATTTTATCTTATTTTATAGGGAGTATAGAAATTTTGATATAATTTTGAACAGTGTAACTTTTTATTCTATTTTCTCTACCAATTCGTAAATACATTATTTTAAAGAAAATAATACTCCCTCCGTCCTAAATAAACTTCTTCTTTCGTTTTTTCCTTGTCCCCAAATAAACTTTTCTTTTCCCTTAAAAAACCTCTTTTACCCCTTACTTTTTCATACCCTACCTATCACATCATACCTTTTTACTAATAATCTACCTATCAAATCTTACTTTTACACATCACATCAAGGGTATTTTTGGAAAGTCAACACAAAAATATCCCCCCTTAAATCCTCTAAAAGTAAAAAATGGGAGTTTATTTAGGGACGGGAAGAGTATTTAATATTCCACCTTGTACAAACAATTTGTGATGATGATACTCGGTACTACTCGTAGTATAAATTAACCTTAGAATGACAGTTGGTTTGGACTGTGGGCCGTCTGCCAAAGTAGGAACGAAGTTCTAGAAGGAACCCACATAAAAGTGCCAAACGTGAAGTGCTCGCTGGCCCAATAAAAACCTAAACACAACACAAAAAAATCACTCCCCAAGGAAGGGAAGGGAACTGCATGTTAGACAGACTGACTCAAACACTACTACTAACGTCTCGTCGTCCACTTTTATTTATGGCTGTATATTTTTAATGTTTCTTTTCCCCCAACCAATCTAAAAAATTCTTCTTGAGATTCCTTAGGTTTATTTATTTTCTTCCCCCAAAAAAACAAAAACAAAAAAACCCTCGTTTATACCATATAAACATCACAGTACTCCTCCGATCCCCTCACACATACAGCTCATCAATAATGGAGGGTGAGAGGCAGCGCCACCACAACAACAACGATCTCGAGCGGTGGAGGTTTAGAGATTCCGGCGGCCGCTTCCTCTCTTCAGATCACAATAATAATATCCTCTTCCCTAAGGGTTTTCCGGCCGCCGCCGCCGGAAACTACATCCGGCCGCCTCCCTCTTCCTTTTCCCATCTTAACAGCAACCAGTTCATCCTCCCCTATGACAACAAACCCATGTTTTCTACTCCTTCCTATCTGGAGGACTGGGGTGATGACAAGTTCCACATAAACCCTAATAATCTCAGGGCCAGCAATGATGCTTTGTTCCAGGTAAATCCTCCTTATCTCGCCCGTGATCCCGGATTCAGTCTCAATCCCACTCTCCGATCCGTCTATAGCGACGATTTGGAAACAATGTTTAACCGCATGAGCTTGTTATCCTCTGGGAATCTGAGAAAGGGGTTTGGATTGGCAGGGGGCAATCCAAACACGAATAATAATAATAATAATAATAATAGGAGCACGCGGTTTGTGGGTAACACCAGCAGCAGTGGTGGTGGTGGTGGTAGGGGGGAGAGGTGTTACAAGTTCACGAGTGTGGAGGAGGTGAGGGGGAAGATAGTGGCGGCGACCAAGGAGCAGCAGAGCTGCCGGGTGCTGCAGCAGAAGCTGGGGGAGGGGAGGCCGGAGGACGTGGAGATGATATTCTCCGAGGTGAAAGACCATGTCTGCGAGCTCATGGTCGACCAGTCCGGGAACTACCTCGTCCAGAAGCTGTTCCAGGCATGCAACGCCCAGCAGATGACCCAGTTGCTCCTCGAGGTTGTCAAAGACGGCTGCCAGTTGCTGGCCATTTGCCTTGACATGCATGGGTATGCTTGCATCCATTTATTTATTTTCCTAGCTACTTCATATGATTATATACAGTTATCATTAATTTGTGTGTGTGTGTGTGTGTGTATATATAAATATAAAAGGACAAGAGCGATGCAGACGATGCTGCGGCATCTAACAACGGCGGATCAAAGGGGTTTGGTAGTGGGGGCATTAAGGCATGTCACTGTCACATTGACCAAAAGTGTCAATGGCCATCATGTCATTCAGCATTGTATCAAGTTCTTCTCCAACGACGAGAAAAAGGTATACATTTGGCATTATTATTATCTAGTCTAGGTTATAATATAATTGAGCTCTTTTTTTGTGTAGTTTTTTTATTCCTGAACTATATAATTCTTTCCACCTTTTTTAGTGATTGGTGCATGATTTTATGTGATTTTAATTGTGGGGGGTTTTGGTACTTTTTAAGAAAACATAGTAGGGGGTCTCTTGGAAACAGCCTCCCTACTTCCGAATAGGGGCAATGTCTGCGTACACACACCCTCCACAGATCTTCTTGTAGTGGGATTCAACTGGGTTGTTGTTGTTGTTGTAAGAAAACATAGTTCTGCACCTACAAAATATAATGATGTTTGTCCTAAAATGGAAATACTTGGTAGTATATTTTACAGTTGTAGTTTCATGCGAGATGCGTGTAAATGATACACGGAGTATATATTTATTGGGGTTCTTTTAATTTGACACCCAACCAACTCTAGCATAACATTACATCTAATCAATTTGAAAATCTTAAGGTGCTCCGTTTGATTTCAAAGTAAATTCCCCTTAGCCCATTTCTTTCTTTGGGTGACAATCCTCATGAAGGGGAAATGGGCAAGAGTTTGTTCGGGGTAGAGCATCTTTCCGAACGGACAATTATTCGGTGTCATATTATGACACTAGTGGTTAAATGTCAGGAAAAAAGGCCGCGGCCTCACACGTGCTCCGTATTTGTTTGTACTGTTTTGGATGCAGCAAATTTTGAATGTTGTAGCAAATAACTGTCTGAGCATAGCAACGGACAAAAGTGGGTGTTGTGTTCTCCAGCACTGTGTCGAAAATGCTGACGTGCAGTCTCGGGAACGTCTCGTGGCTGAGATCATCGTCAATTCCTTGGTTCTCTCGGAACATCCTTACGGGTATGTAATTACGTTCTTCGTATTAAATTGTTCGATCTCGTAAATTTAAAACATTATACATATTGAATGATATATATATATGATGAATATGTGTGTGTGTATGGCAACTACAGGAACTATGTGGTGCAAAACATTGTGGGGCTAAAGAACCCAAAGTGTACGGGGGAGATAGTGAACCAACTGGCGGGGAGCTTTGTGGGGCTGTCGATGGACAAATACGGGAGCAATGTGGTGGAGAAGTGCTTGAAGGAGTCGGAAGAGAGGCAGGCCAACCGGATCATCCAAGAGATCATTTACAGCCCACATTTCTTGATGGTTCTCCAAGACCCTTTTGGCAACTATGTTGTTCAATCCGCTCTCTCCATCTCCAAGGTCCATTTCTTTTTTACCCATTTCCATATATTAATATACCATCCAAAACTTTTACTTTCAAGGTGTACTCATTCTCTCATTTTGACAGTTTAGGGTCAAAGATACTCCCTCCGTCCTATAAAGTGTTACCCATTTTGACTAAAATAGAAATTAAGGAAGGGATAATTTTGTGTTGACTTTCAAAAATACCCTTGATGTGATGGGTAAAAGTAGGATGTGATGTGTAGATTATTAGAAAAAACGTTTGATGTGATAGGTAGGGTTTGAAAAAATAAAGGATAAAAGTGATTTTTTAATAGAAATGGGTAGGAGATTGTGGGACATAATTTTTTTGGAAAGTGTAAATCTTTTTGGGACGGAGGGAGTATAAAACGGAGAGAACACCTTTCTTAAGGAAAACATGTGGAATAATCAAGTTCCTTTTGAGATAGCTAATTAAGAAGAAAAATGTGATCGAAGTTATTTTTATACGTAAAAGTGGGTTTTTAATAGAAAAAAATGACTTTGTGAGACAGAAAAAATAGGAGAAAGAGTTTATGGAAAGAAGGGAGTATTAACAAACGCAAATTCGACTCATAAGTCCAGCAGGGATTAAAATATGTTGTATACGGAGTATATCAAAATAGGACATTGAATAATTCATACTAAAATAAGGAGTAACACTTATGGTATCAAATCATGTCAAGAAATAGTTCTAAAAAGAGCTAGACATACCAATTGCACTTACATAATGTAGAATTAGTTAGGGACAAGAGTACTATAGAGTTTACTTAATGTTCTTTCTAATTTGTACTAATTGGTCTCATTAAATAGCTAGCTAGAGCAACCAAGCATTATTGATCCAGTTTAATTATTGGGGGCGGTTCCCATGACATTGCTTTCATGGATGACCCGGGGACCGTACGGGTGCTCCGTCTGTAAAATCAACAGTTCCTAAACCCCCCATCCCGTCCCGAACCCACCGCTCACACCCTTTAATTGCATCCCCCAAGTCTAAATGACTTTGGAGTCAAATTTTTGAGTCCAAAGTCAACTAAACTTGAGGGATGCAATGTGTTCAGAGCGGGGTGAGGTGGGGGCGCTACCAACGGAGGCCCCCGGGTCAAGGGAACAGGGTGGTAATTACCTTCATCTTTGAATTAAGAATAGTATTGATAATGGTGGACATCATCAACATGCATGCATGCATGCAGGGAGGTCTTTTGCATGAAATGGTGGACATCATCAACATGCATTATACATCACTCCAAAGTCATCCCCATGGCAAAAGGGTGCTAGCCAAGACCAGAGGAAACAAGCTGCGCTTATAAATCAATCAAAGCGATCCATCCAGCCACATATGATGATGTTGTTACAAATTAAATAATAAGATTAGTGTTGTTTGTTTGTTTGTTAGCAAAGTGTACGTTTGTCGTGTGTGCACCCACACCATGTTGTCTGTTTGTCCAATTTAAATGTAGTGTTTCTTTAGCCATAATACGTATTACAACGTACGTAATAATGGCCTGCGGTGTGCAAAACTCGTGTGGAGCAGATGTACTTTAAAGACTAATAAGTGTAATTTGTGCTCTCTTACGTACCCATTGTTGTTTTGATAAAATAGTTTAAACTTCTAACTTCTTAGTCTCTTCGTCTACACCTTTTTTTTCTTATTAATTCTTTCACCATCTCTCATCTAACCCTTTGATTACTAATCTATATATATATATATATATATATATATATATATATATATATAAAATATTTCAAATCTATGCTTCATATCATAACATATACTGGTACAATGGTCAAAGTCTGTACACACTTAACTAAGACCAAATGAGAAAATAATTTCTAAAAGTGGTATGATGACTTTCAATCAATGTTAGCCTATTGAATAATTTATTTAATTATGCGGGTTATTTTTAAAACAGTATGAGTGTGTTTTCGTTAGAAAATATTTTTCAAGAGGAATCCAAGACAAAATGGTTTTCAAGGCTAAAAAGGAAATTATTTTTCCAAAGAAAACTTGGTCAAGTGATTGGTCGAGTTCACTCCAATCTCATATTTTTATTGTCTTCCTTTTCTTCTTGGATGTCAAAAAAACTTTTTCATTTATGTTATGATTTCGTCCAAGTTTTCTTTGCACGTACTCACTACTTGGCCAAGTGATTGGATATTTTTCTCATTGCTGCGATTGGGTAGTTAGCTCAGTTCGGGTGGCAAGGAGAACTTTCCCCCCTTGTCGGTCCCAAGTCATTCAAATTTGTACATACATCAAGTGATGGGGAATGACCTGAACTAACATCATCAAGTGGTGAAGCGTCTCATTTCAGCACGTGATGCCAATTTGTGGAATGCTTCATTAGTTGCCAAGTCGAGATATATATGTGTAAATGTGTCCCTTTCACGACTATATTGTATTAATGCATTGTTTGTGATCATTTTATCGTTGTGAAATTTCATGAGAACTAGAACCATTTTATTAAACATAAGCGTAATATTATACTCCATCCGTCCCAAAAAGATTTACACGTTTCAAAAAAATTGCGTCCCATAATCTCTTACCCATTTCTATTAAAAAACCACGTTTACCCCTTACTTTTTCAAACCCTACCTATCACATCATACCTTTTTCCTAATAATCTACACATCACATCCTACTTTTACCCATCACATCAAGGGTATTTTTGGAAAGTCAACACAAAATTATTCCTCCCTTAATTTCAACTTTAGTCAAAATGGGTAACACTTTATGGGACGGAGAGAGTAATATATCCTTAAGATTGACCTAATTGTAAGCCTATTATCAGGGTTTGTTACACTAGACCCTAATACTTCCCTAAAAAACTTTCCTCAAGTTGAGATGTGAGAGCATCACAAATGCACAACTTAGATAATAACAAGATAGAATCAAGACTAAAATATAATTTTATAAATAATTGGACAAAACTTGATTTGCTACGACAGCAATGGACGAAACTGATGGACTCCCATGTTCGACGACTAGCAAAAGTCCCAAACCCGGACTTACATGATGTTGCCAGATTAAAGTATGACTAGCCTCGCAAAGTGACATGCCAAACATATGGCTGGTCGTGAGTTATGGCTAATCATAGAGAAACAATATAATCAAATGTTATCAAAACCAATCCATGCACTAACCACTAAAATTACATCTACATGAACACCAAAACCATTTATTAACCACCAAAATTTAATGGACTTAATGCTGAGCTGAAACAAAATCTAACTGCGAGAGGAGAACAACTTCCAAACAAGGGGATGCCAGTATAGAAGAAGACGACAATGATAGACATTTGAGTTGAGGTGTAATCAGTTTGTACCCCAATCTACCTGATGGTAAAGTCTTCACCGATTACCCCAAACCCTAATATATCTGCTAACACATATGTTCACAAACATGAACACTTTTGCTTGCATGCGTTACCATTTACTCGAGATCATGGCATTGATGTGGCATTGGTCTTGGTACACCATTGCAAAAAAATTGATTCCTAACTCAATTCAATGAATCGACAGACATTTGATTTCTGAGCTACAAATTGTATAAAAATTATAAACATGTATAATAACAAGTTAAATACAATGTAAATGAAATGTAAAAATGTATAAAATAAATTAAAACTATAAAACTAAAATAAAGTGCAAAAAGTTAAAAAAAGAAATTGATTAAAACTCTAAAACATATCAATTGACAGATCCTCGGATGTGTCGGTATAGGCCCGTGCAAGGGAAACATCCTCCTCGTCGCTTCACTTTTTCATGCTCGGTTTGGTGGTGTTTTCTGCCATCTCCTTGGTACTCTTGGGGATAAAGAAGATAACACGGATAAATTGAGAATCGTGTATAACACTTTCAACTTGAATATTTTGGGAGTTCAATCCAAAATTCAATCGGATAAAAACTCAAAGTTATCAAGAACAAGTATGAATCTGTTGTGAATTTCCGAACTATATTTGAGACCATGGAGCAGCAGATGTTTTATGGACGTGGAGGGAATGAGATGCAAAAGTTTTTGAGATGCGGTCGCATCTTTTCCAAAAACAGGTGACCCTACGCGCAATTTTTTAAAGAAACGACATTATCTTTTTCTCGAATTTTTCCTTTAAGAAAAATTTAAAAAGTAAAAATCTCGACCCCAGGTGGCGCTGCCGCCCCTTGAACCCTGCTCGGGGGTGCTGCCCCCTTGAAATCCCCGTTAAAACGAATTTTTTTATCCTAACAAACTCAACGAAGCGTGCACTTCGCACTGCCAAACTTCTTTGATGATTATTAAGATATCATTGGTCACAAAGATTTTACAATTACACTAAAATATATAACATGTACCAAATTGTAAAAGTAAGAATTTTGGATATCCGTAGCAATTGTAAAACGAGTTGTTTTGGATGTTGAAGTGAGGGTTGTTGGGAACCATAGTTTGAATGATAAAAATTGGTACTCTCTCCGTCCTGGTATTTGTCTCCTTTGACTTTTTTCAGGCAAAATTGATAAACTTTGAATCTCAAACTAAAATCACTTTTAATTGATTTTAGAGATTTCGAAGAAATAAAATAGTATCACTTTTTAACTAAAAAAGTCAAAACAGAAAAGCTTTTTTGGACGACAGAGTGTGTAAAAAGATTGGTAAAGTTGGCATGAACTTATAGGAGGTAATAAAAATAATTTGTAATTTTTTTAAAAAAAGCCCAACTAGAATGCCGCTTTCTATTGCTCTTTTCATTAACACAATGTTTGGTTCAAGAAATTTTGAAGGAAAAGGAAACAAAATGGTTTTCTCTCATTTTTCTCACCAAAATGAAAAGAATTTGGTTATCCCTCCCCTTGATACATTTTGCCTTCTCATTTTCTTTTCCTTCCACTTTTCCTTTCTAACCAAACAAAAAAACTTATTTTCCACTTCATTTTATTTTCTTTTCCCTTTTAAATTCTTTGAACCAAACATAGTGTAAGTGCATCGTCGGAACAAGCCCCGGTTGCACCCCATAGCACATGGCCTAATGATGCATGCCACCAACACCAAAGTGCACTGACATCAGTAACGGTCGGTCGCTTGTTTTTCCAACTATCGTCCTCCCCACCCCCCATCCACCTCCGGGGTGGCCATAATTTTTCAGTAATTTGACCAAACACAATCAACCATGGCTCGAGTTTCAAACTCATACCACCGCAAAACTCAAATTTGCTTCCGAACCCATATTTGAGTGCAAACAAAACGAGCCAGTGGCACACACAAGGAATTTTTAGGGTCGTAATTGACAAAACCGTGTGAACTTAAATAATACCGAGTAAAGTATATGTCGTTTCGCCATCCAGTTAACTCCAAAGATTGCATATATACACTGTGGAAGATATTACTACACAAGCTAAATTGCAATCATTTTATGTTAGTGTGGCATGGTTGCAACAAAGATGTCACTTTTGCCCTCTGATATGGTCAGTCATGTTACTTTCTGTGTTTTAATACACTTGCCCTGCAATAAGGGCAGTCTCCACAAGTCCGGACCCAGGGAATCAAGCAACCGTTGTGGAATCTATGGCCACAGGGCAAATGAAACAGGGCGTCTCCATCCGAGAAAGCCTCCAAACAGATGCAACACTCTTGTGGTACATTGCCACCTAAGTTGTTGAAAACTTCAACTTGCAGAGAATTTAGGGATTCTTGGGTGAGCCCAGGAGGTCTTTTGGTCATGTCTATCTGGATAAAGTCTGTGGCTATGCCTGATCTTGCTACAGAGTCCCTAGCACCAACAAGCATGGAGTCATTTTCGGTTGTCACGTTTCTCATAAGGCTGCTTGTCGAGGCCCTTCTACTGCACCTAACATGAAAAAAGGAAAAAAAATGGCAGTGATAATTTTTGCTTGCAATTGATCACCTGGTTCACAAATACGGAGTAAGAGAGCTATAACTGAAAAATAACTTGATCATCATATATTTCCATGCATTTACGCACAAATAAGGATAACATGAGGAGAAAATGGCAAACACATGTAGAGAGAAATATTTAGTAGTATCATATGAAAAAAGAATCACATAAGATCGCAAATTAAAAACAGAAAAAGCCAAGGAAGCCTACCTGTTTTCAGATAGAGAAAAGCCTCTCAATCTTTGGAGAAGTCTTTCCCTTGCAAGTAGGACTGGTCCAGGAAGTCCACCATTCCCAGTAGTTCTAAAGTTATCATGTATAGTGATTTCATTTTCGGAACTGTTATAGTTTCCAGATGGAGTGGTGAAAGCATCAATGCCGGCTGGTTCAAGCTCCTATCCAATATGACAATCAAATGATACACGGGAAGTCAGAATAATAAGGAGTATACAGTAGGTCAGTAGCATGCATTTTGGAATCTTGCTATTCATCACCAATGATTTCACCTGATTTAAACCTTTGTTTAGAAGGAATGGAGGGTCCTGGGGAAGAAATTAAAAGTAGGGAAATGGAAGTGGAGAAGAAAATAATGTTTCATGTTGTTTGAGAAGTGAGGAAGTAGTGGAAGAAGGGGGAAAATACTAAGTGGAACCCTTTTATCATATAACTGAAGAGACTTTGAAGAGAAAGGGGAAAAGAGTATGAGACCTCTTTCAAATCATAAAGTGGGCACTCTTAATTCATTTCGTTTATCTACATAGACAAGGACATGTATGTCTTTAAAAGAAAGAATAAACAATTGTTCTCTCTTATATATTTGTCTCTTACTTTTCATCCAAGTACCTAAAACAATCAATCTCCTAGTACTTCCTTTCCTACTACCATATCAAAACAAAGCATAAGACACAAATAAACAAAATGAGCAGTGCAGAAAACAAAAGCTGTCGAGAAAAGGAAAATACAAAATGGATTTTGTAACTAGGGTAAAACCCCAAAAAACATGCACATAAGTTGACTATATATGATAGTAGTAATTAGTAAATGTTGAATTCTAACTGAAAGTTTTAAACCAACCTAGTTTTTTGAAAGTACAAAGCCAGGTGTGTATTATTGACTCAAGCAATCATAGTAACACCTAACAGAGTAACAGGGCGTAGAAGTACAATAATCCATAATTGAAGGGTACCTAAATTTTAAAGGTAAAACCTTTCTTCATTTGGGAGGTTTCATGCTTTTTTAACTCAACATTACATCCCAAATAGAAACCCCCCAATGTTTAGTGGCATGGCGGAAACAGAAAAAAAAGGTTCTCTAGTTGAGTAGGGCTTTATAACTAGAAACATCTTAAAATATAACAAGAATCAAATAAAAGATCAGACCAAATCAGACTAGATCAAATAAGACCGGACCTTAATAAAATCATATCAAGTCCAATCAAATCTCATATGTACCCATTCACAAGTCGCTGGCTCCTCGCCTGCAAATTCTGGACTATTCTGCCAGATTATGGTTCACACGTTTCAGTTTTCACTCTTGAATTGCTTGAGGCCTAAACTCCATCGATATATTTCTCTTCTACTCTAAAATTTCCATACTTCACATCTATTTTATCGGCAAGGTTCTGTTGACACTGGCATCCAGTGTCAATGGATGACACTCGCGACACCTCCAGTGCTGCTGTTTTATTTCTATTCTATCATTACTCGGAGAGTTCATCGGATCCACAAATCTGGACAGTAAATCCCTTCTTGGGCCACAAATCCTTGTGTCTTTTACACCAACACAACAAAAGTTTTGAAACTCAAAAGATTGCGCGAAGTATAATTATTTCAATGGCTAGTAAATTGTAAGGAAGCAAAACGTACAAAGATATTCACCTGAAAATCATTCAGTAGAGGATTGGAAATTTAACACTCAGAAGAAAAAAACAAATCTAAAATCCAATAACCTTACCTGAACAGAGGAGCAGCGGATCGGAATTCTAGACCGGGGAAGAGGCTCGGAGTCGATCGAATCGAATCTCCCGACCCGGCGAGTTCCATTGCTGCTGCGGCGGTGACGGCGGTGGCGATGACCAGTGACATGACTGTGGATAGATATTCGGTCAGAATCCGAATCAAATTCGGAGCTGATCCGACCCAGACGAGTCCTCCTGGTGTAGAATAGCTCCGAAGCGCTCGTCATGCAAATGCAAAGAGGAACAAACAAATTTTCTCTGCGTGTCTACAAGAATTAATAAATAACCACAAATTCACGCGCACACTTGCATTTCCAGAGGAAAGAACTACGGAGTAAAAAAGATGATAAAAGGAAAAGACAAAGAAAGAGCCTATCCCTTATTCGAGCCAACTTCTTCTTCCTCTTAATTGTCCGTGTAAACCTAGTACGTACGCTACTTTTGTTCCATATATCCATTGGTCCAAAAATAGAACATTTTTTTGGATTATCTACGTGCACGGTGCCTAGGGGTGGACACGGTACCGTACCGGTACCGTGACCGGCAACGGTACCGCCGGTACCCGCCACCGTCACCGCCAGCCGGGACGTTCCACCGGTTGCGGGAACCGGTACTGGTACTGCCCCCTACGGTACCGATTCTGGTATCCATTTTTTAGTACCGGCACTTGCGGTACCGGTACCTTTTTTTTGTCCAGATTTGCCCCCCATAGCGCAGTCCATCCGTCACCCTCAAGCAGCCGCTCGATTGAAGGAAGAAGAAGAAGCACTGCCAGTTTCCGAAAAGCAAAAAAAAGAAGCAAAACTATGTCGTTTTAAATAAGGGTTTAAATAAATTCTTTGACCCAGCCCAATACTCCATAGCCCAATAGCCCAATTTCTCAAAAAAAGAAAACGGAGTACTCATTCATCGCCTAAGGCTCTCTACTCTCATCTCCATCACCAGCTTATTCCGCAGCAATAGCCAATCGAAGAAGAAATCGGCGAGTCGGCGATTGGAAACCGGAGAAGAAATCGGTGGCCGGTCCAGTACCGGAACCGGCGGTTCTCGAACCGGAACCATCCCGGAACCGTACCGTGTCCACCCCTACTGCACCCTACTTTGTATCCCATTTTGTATCTTAAAAATTTATTCTGATACTGATGGTGTAAATATAGCTGGGCGGGTTAACCGGTTTTAACCTGGACACTCGACCCGTAATATAAAACACACAACAAAAACACAAAGTATGACCTAGACCGCGTAAATCTCCTCAGTCCGAAATATATTTCTTACTCTGTCTCAAGAGTGTACTAGTTTTTAGTGAGAGAAAGAATGGATCCCCTCCTCTCTCCAATATCATCATATTTATAGAGGAGGATTTGTGACCTTCCCCTGTTCATCCATGGACAAAATAGGAAGCCCGTGGGAAGGTCACTGTACATAATCAATCTACTGTTCAATCAATGAATTTAGCAACTACTCCCTCCGTCCCCTTGTATTTGTCCACATTTGACTTTTGGAACTGTTCATCTAAGCACTTTGACTCATCAAATTCTCTCAATGTGTAAGCCTAAATATAGTCATGTGTGATCTTGTTTGATTTGTTTTAACATATAGATTATTAATGTATAATTTTTATAATTTTTTAATATACAATTTACAAGATAAAAAAGATTAAAGAAGTGCATTGGATGGTGTGTAAAAATGAAAGTGGACAAATACAGGGGGACGTAGGGAGTACAAGCCAAGACATGTACTGTTTAATCAAAGACTATAAATGGATATTCTCAATTTCAATCAGCCCTGCAAAGTGACAAATGTTCCTTTCACTATTTGCCTCGTGAAGGACGAACGACGGGGTGGTCCCCTGGCCTTCGACGTTGATTGCCATTCCCAAGTGACGCAACCTTACCGGTCATCTTTCTTCCAAGGTTGTCCGGTCATTTCTTGAGTTCGACCCGTCTCTTTGGTCCTCGGGACTATCCTTCGTAACATGAAGTGATGAATTGGCTAACGCCCAAAATGTGACGGGTCACTTTTTTAGTGGAAGTGACCGGTCAACTTTTGACCCGTCCCAATCGAAGAGTTAACCTCATTTGGTGATTGATAAAAGTGACCGGTCATATTTTGACCTGTCCCTTTCGATTATCAGAGTCGGGTATAAGGATATACCCATCAGATACAAAATATAAATGCAAAACTGGTATAATACTATTTTTGTACTTATATTTAATGTCAGGACAAGTTTTTTGGTACAAATAGAATATTTTTTTTTGTTGCAACAAAATAAAACAGTTATATCCAAAAATTATTTACTCTTTCACTGTAGTCAAATTATATTTAAATCGTTGGTCTATTTTTATTGCTTATTTAGATGTGTAGATCTTTTAATTTTAATTTTTAAATAGGTATTGTTTACGGAGTATTTTTTAGTCTCAAACCATTTTTATATAAAATAATTTGAACTTGTCAAATATTATACTCCATCCATTAATTCTTTTTTCACTTTCCTTTTTGAGTCATCCAATTTTTTTTATTTCTTATTTTGGAAAAAGATTTTTAATGAACATTATACCCATACTTTTTATCTGTATTATTCATTTTATTCTATCATATCAAAGGAAACAAATAGAAAAGTATACTTTTTAAGTTTTCTTGATCTTCGTGTTAAGTCAAACCAGGAAAGAAATTATTGGACGGAGGGAGTAATGCACAATGAAAAGAAATTTTTTGTATTACCTCATGCTATTATTCCTTCTGTCCAAAAATGTTCTACCTGTTTCTGTGTACGAGGTTTGACCAACTTTATTTTCAATTCAATTTATTTGATTGTAGGTGTAAAATTTAAAAATAAACTTATATATTTAAACACCACATAAAAAGAGGGAGAGAGTTATGTTATTTTATCAAATAACTAATAAAAATAAAAAAAGTGATTAAAATTTAACTATGTGAATAGTAATTCGATAAAGGATAAAGCTATTTGTACCCTAACTTTTGTACCCCACTTTGTACCCCGCAGGTTTGCACCAACATTTTATGTTGGTGTAAAACTAATTTTTGTTAATGCACCAACACTTTATGTCTGTGTAAATTTTTGTTAACACACCAACACTTATGTCGGTTTAAACCATCAAAATGTTTGTGTATTACTGTGGTGTACAAATGGGGTATAATTTGTGGTGTAAGTGTAGCATGACCCTTCGAAAAAATGTTATAAGATGGAGGGAGTAATTCTCAACTTATTTGTATTTTTTTCCCTTTCAAAAAAAAAAACTTTCTTTTTCCAAAGAAAAACTTTGAATTTCGGTCGTGCTAATTCCGAAGGGTATTTTGGGAGGAACTGAGGAAGAGACTAGAGAGTACGGAGTAGATCTTTTCTCTATTCTGGCTGCCTGTGGCTGTGGGTTCCAATGTCGACTCCTGATCATCCGTTGCAGCTTGTCTTCCACGCACTCGACAAGCTATCAAATAGAATCCAATCGCAGCTCCACCAACTTCTTCGTTTTCCAGACACTCCCCACTCGCCCTTTCCTCTTTCTGCTGCTGCAAAATCAAACCAATCGGTTCCAGGACGGGCCGCCTCTGGTCTTCTCCGACCCACTGGAGTTCCCAAGAAGGTAAGTTTACCGCGCCAATGAGCACTTTGTTTCTTCGTTTTCATCCTTCTTGCGCGTCATTTCAGTTCTCTGGACAGATATTGGGCAATGGCTAAGCTTGCAATTCGTGCATACTAGCTGTTCGATAAAATAACCCTGTGAAGATTAATACAAAACGGCTTTGTGTTGTTCTTTTGGATTCACAGTGCTCATCTGGAGAAATGGGTAGACTTGAATTTGGTGTTGATGTTAAGAACTGATGGAGTTTCTATGTGTTCTTGATGTCAATTCTTCCGTTCAGGAAACGTTTGCTGGCCCAGTGATTAAAGAAGAACTTGGACGGGCTACTTGGACCTTTCTTCACACTCTTGCAGCTCAGGTAATTTTATGGTTATTCCTGATTTTGTCCTTTTCTTTTTCCAGCCAAAATCTTCAACTTTTATTTACTTTTGTTGATATGCTTGTTCCTTTTGACTAAAAAAATAGAGGCTAGTTGTAGTTTTTTTCCTTGTTGCACTTATTTGTGATGCTTTTTACTTTTTATCATTTGATTCTATGTATGAATTGTGGATTTCAGTACCCCGAGAAGCCAACCAGACAACAAAAGAAGGATGTTAAAGAGTTGGTACACTATTATTGCTCCTCGAAATTTTTTATGTATTTATTTTCACTTCAGTCCATGGTATGAAGCTAAAGATTGAATTTTTGTTCTTCTGACTTGAGAAGAAACATTGGATCTATGAGGCTAGATTATGTGAAGGTTGATGCCAATTACTACAATTCTAGATTTCCTTATCCATGATTTTACTGGATAAATATTTTTACTACATTAGAGTAAAATCTGGTTGAAGGTAAAAAAAAGACTTGTTATTGTTTTAAGTTTTCTGTTCCCTTTCATATGAATTGCAGATGGCTATCTTATCCCGCATGTACCCTTGCAAGGAGTGTGCTGATCATTTTAAAGAAGTTTTGCGGTATATTCCCATTTACCCCTCTCCACAATTGTTCAACATCGACATCCAATGTCGGAGAGTTAGCTTGAAGTATGAATTATCCCATATTTCCCCGTGTGTTTGCAGATCAAACCCCGTGCAAGCAGGATCCCAAGACGAGTTTTCACAATGGATGTGCCATGTGCACAATGTTGTTAATAGAAGGTAATTCGGGCTATTGATCATGTTCTTCATTTTTCAAGCAACCATCCCTAATATTGAACGTGCCATTGTCCCATATCCATTCATCATCTAAAAAGATTAACTTGCCTTTCCCAATTCACAAAGATGATAGTTGGGAAAAAGACTAAACTAGGAGTAAAACATGAGAAAGTACCAAAATAGGAACTCCATGTTTTTATCCCAAAATAAGAGTTGCAATGCCAATAATGTCAACATATAATACCAAAAAAAAACACAACGGAATACCAATATACAGTCCTAAATTGTCACATGGCTCCTATTTTGGGGTTAAAAACGGTACTCTTTCTATGTTTACTCCTAGCATGGTAGATTTCTTATAGTAAAATGTCTGTTATTTCCACGCCGTAGCAGGTGTTATCTTGTGCATTAATATGACTGTCAAAGCTAAGCCAATCCCATGAATTTTGTGTCAAACAGTTTTGCCAAACCTATTTTCCCTTGCGAACGAGTTGATGCACGATGGGGCAAGCTTGATTGCGAGCAGCATGCCTGTGACTTGCAAGGAAGCGACAAGTTCTTGTAACGAAACATATTGTAGTTTCATCTGGGAATTATTTTTTTAATCTCATGCACTTTGACTCTATGTGAGTATGTGTATGTGTGTAAACATGGCAACAATTTTATCTATGGCCTTTCAGTTATTCATCCATACCCATACGGAATTCCTAGCATTCTTTGAAGAGTGTTTTTAAAAAAAAAAGATTTTCAACAAATCCAAAAAAAAACAGCAACCTATGGAAGGAGAGAGAATGATTTTGTGTAATGAAGCCATAAAATTGTCCAAGCACATTATATACACATATCATTCTTCTACCCTAAGGAGTAGATATGTTGTTTCTGAAAAGACTCGACAAAGAGTGGAAAAGAGTGCTAATATAATATTTAGAGTGATATGGGCAAATATGGGGTCAGGTATGTGTGTTCAAGCAAGTAGATAATAAATTTTACCTATTTGTTCAGATAAGGAGACAAATTTACCATTTAACCTTACATAATATTATAAAAAATTGGGCACGGTTTCGTTGACACTTGCCAATGGTGCCACTGCGTTTTAGTATGAAAATTACCTCAACTTATACATGCCCTTAGCATTTTTCAAATATGGAGTACTTAGATATATAATGAACAATGGTAGATGAGGGAGAGAAATTATTTGGCGAGATTATTTTGAATTCTCAAGAATTATGTATTGAATTCGAATTATGAGATCTGAAAACTTATACTATGTTATTTGATACGATGTTTAGTTTTATCATTAGCGATAAATGACAATAAAGGGTGGACAAAAATCAGATTATCGTTCAGTCTAAAGGCCCAACTGTTCTTTTAGAAGGTTTGGACACAAAATAAAATCCAAATTTTGGGTTTTGAACAAAAAAGAAAAGGTTATTTAATAAGTAGGCATATAAAGGTTTGGCGTCGTTAGGCTTTTGCCTACAGTGAAGAGAAGATCAAAGTTATCTCGGAGGTTAGGATAGGGGGTGCAAGTAAGAATTAGGAACCGGTTTGGGGCCCAAACGGAGAACCGTGGAACCCCAAACGGAGCACCATGAAGCTTGGTGTCGAAAATATTGTTGTGATGTTATTATACTTCATATAATGTTATTGTCACCTTTATTTGTGTTTAAACTATTATGCTCCCCGCTTGGATTTAGATGATCACCTTTTCATTTGAGATGTTAGCATGTAGTTGTCCAATATAAAAAGAATCACTATAAAACATAACAACTTTGTTATGATCAATTAAAGAAAAACTAATTTCATATATTTTGCTGTTATCTTACCCACATTCTTAAAATTTAAAAAGTGGAGATTTAAATCTCTAAATCTGGACTGAGAAAAGATTTACCGAGATATAGAAACATTGCCTTCCTATCCATCCAAACACACCCTAATAGAATACCATGGGCTCCGCGACCGTTCAACCCGACGGGCTTTGACCACAAACAATTTCTTGGGCCACAAACAATTTCTTGGACTTTGACCAAATAGAACAAGATCAAACCTTAACATATCATCATTTCATTTTTCAGTACTGAATAGAGCTAAAATTAGATTACCATATACATCAAAGTTTAGCTGCTAAACAATGAAAGGCTTCAGAGCTATTTGATATGCTTTCTTCATCTTTAACCAAAGTTTCTTACCTTAGAGACATTACATGCTAATAATACCAACCTAAAACCAGAGAAAAACAAAACCCCTTCAACAAAAGTTAGTTAGCACTTAACTGTCCGTTCCTTCGTTCTCCTATGAAACCGAATGCGTATCCCTTCTTGAATGTGACGATTTTGCTTCATCGACGAGACTGTCAGAAGAATCAGACCCACTGTTCTCCACATGTCCAACTCCACTTTTACTTGACCCCAACATTTTGGAGACTATCCGTTTAGACATCAACAAGGCTTTCATTTTACCAATGCTGCTGCTCTTCTTATTGTCAGCATCCCATTCTTCTTCTTCTTCTTCTTCAGTGTTAGTTGTCTCAATAGATCTTGAGCTCCCAATGCAGGAGGCCCCATCAATGGTTTTGGGAGTGGTGCATCCGGATGATGACACATTTGCCCTTACCTGTTCAAAAAACAGAACCTGCACGATCACGCGCATTGGGAGTCTCTCATTCTGAACAGCATGCTTGCACGCTTCTGCTGACAGCTTTTTGCAGTCTATCAGTTTGCATATTCTCTTTCGCTCGCTCTTGCTCATCCCCGGGTGCATCTATGCCAATATGCCATAGATACACATCATTAAAGAGTTATTTATATTATCAAGCACAAAACTCTCATACGATCCATAAATTGAAACAAACAGCACATACTTGGTGTGCTAATGATATTCTACAAGGCTAAATTATACTCCCTCCATCCCATAAAACTTTTCGACTTTGAAAAAAGTGGGATTTAAGGAATGTGTAATTTTGGTGTTATTTTCCTATTTTGGCCTTACTTTATTATAGGATAGGAAATGATGTGATAGGTTGATTAATAATGAATAGATAAGATGTATTAGGTAGGTTGATAATTAGTAGGGATAAAAATAAAAAGGGAGATTTTAATTGAAAATGGAAGTATTTTTTAGGACAGATGAAAAGTGAAAGTGGAAAGATTTTTTGGGACCGAGGGAGTATATGTTTCTTATTTGGGATTTGAGATTTTGGAAAGGGAGGTGCAAAAAGCTCACCATGAGAAACATGTCGATTGCACGGTAAAGTCCATCATGAGAAGCTCGGGGAAAATGCGAGACCATCTCAGCCAACCCAACAAAAGTAGTCATTTGAAGATTGGGATCTTCTTCTGCAATGCCAGCAAGGTACCCATCTATTAACTTTGCCACCTTCCCTTGGGAAACTTCAGACAAAACCCCCGCCAAATTTTTTCCAACTTCGTATATCTCATTCCTAGTTTCCTCCAAAGTGTCCCGCCCATGCAATGTAAACTCCAGTATTTCCTTCACAACATGTGGGGCTTGAAGCAAAAGAAGATCGTTCACGGATGCGTCCTCAAGTTGGTGGCCTATTCTTTTGATCAGTTTGCCCTTTGTAGCCTCTCTCGAATCATCAAGTGAAATGGACAGTTTCAGTAACTTCAGCAAGAACCGACAAGAGACGCTGCCTTTCTGAGCAGGTAGAAGCCACACAATTGAATCCAATATTGACCGAGCATCATCACCATACTTGTGCAACCTTCTAGAAGCATAAGCTTTCAGAGCTTCTCCTATGACTTTATCAGAAATGATCCTTTTGTTTTTGATACTCTTGATAACTCGCTCATATATGCCCACTTCAAGTTCACATAAGTCATCAACCCACCAATCCTGTGGCACCATCCGGGGGCTTCTTAAAGGATCAATACTGCCATTATTTTCATCTGGTGTCTTTTCCCGGTTATACGTATAGGACCAATCCACCTTGGACGGATCGGTAGATGCCTTGGAAGCTATAGCTTCAATGCAGTGGCCAACCAACTTCAGCTCCTCAGACATGGGCAAGTGATGTTTTGTGGTTTGGAGAGCTATTATGGAATCCTTCCAGCTTTTAAGTATGCATGAGTTCAAGAAAACATCAATCTTGTGGATCAGGTTTCCTTTCTCAACATTTTCTCTCATTTCCAGATACTCAGCAGCACACCGTGCTGAAATCACGTTGTGAGCATTCATTGTGATGGTCACTCCGTAACAGAACTTGGCACATAGTTCGAAGGCAGTGGGCCCTCCTGGGATGTCATGGATGTGAACTTCATCACTGTTTCCTTCGTTTGAGTTTGTCACCAGTTTTTGCAAACGAGCACTCTTGGAAACAAGAGGGAACTGCACCATATATCAGTAGTTAGTTTTATCAGGTTGATAGGTAACAAGTTCATTTTCTTTTGTGCCTTGTTTGGGTTCAGTATAAATACTCTTCATAAAACCCAAGAATCTCTTGGATTTACCAAATCCAAACATGAGGCAACACACCAAATAAGGGAATACCCAAGAACCGCACACCAATCCAAACGATGCATATAGTTTGAGATATTGATAGTATGGTGTGGAGAATGGATATGCACTTATACAGTTCAGAGAGAATGGTAAGCTCATTGTGGATAGAATAGAAACACCAAGGTCGTTCCTGAACAAATGGGTAATTTGAAACAATTTTTTTTTGTCACCATACCTTATGCAAATAGAACTTCACATCTCCTATAAGAATAACGAAGTCGGAGGCCAACTCAGATGCAACATATCTGCACGACAGTTTCTCAGTTCTGGAAACTTACTGAAGGAAAAATGACCTTAGCGAAAATATGACAATTAATAAGCAGCTCAAGAATGGCATCTAACCTGATGTTGTTGGTCCCTTCTGAATGAAAACAATCAGGTTTGGATCCAAGTTTCATGAACTTCATCTCAGCAAACTCCAAGATTCTTGACTTCTTTAAACGTTGAATCTTAAACTCAATAGTTCAGTCTCGTTACTCAACCGATCACTGTAAAAAAAACAAAATAAACCCTATGATCATTAGCTTACAAACGAAAGCCTAGGTCGGTTTTACCTTAAAAAGTGGTTCACTTAAATGGGAAGAGAGACAGAGGGAAGAAAAATTGTTTCCTTGACCATGGGTAAATGAGTCAGTCCATGAGATATAAAACACAGATTCTCAACACTAAATTATTCTCCAAACCAGAAATACATTTTTTATTACCCCCTCTCTCCCACATATACTCTATCCCGTCTAATCTCATCTCTTTTCAGAATAAACAATTCCAAAATCTTAAAGATTCATTTAATAAAATATTTTTTTAAAAAAAAATGCAATTGGTTTTTACAGAGTTCCAAAGTTCCACCTCATATAGAAAGCACATGTAAATTCTGCTTGCTTTCTGCATTTATTTGTAAATAATAAATATATTTATAAGCATTGAAAGTACCTGCAGTGGAAAACAGCATCTTGTTGTTGTTGTCAGTTGAAGAAACCACCACACCAACAGTAGACAGCAAGAATCTCCCCCCACAGGTTTTGCAAAACTAAAATCTTGAGAGAGAGAGAGAGAGAAGGAGAGAGAATCAGAAATTTGATGGCGATATGCATAATATATTACAGTAATAGTAAAAATGGAATCAGAGAAGATAAAACAACAAAATCCCAGGGAACCCAAAGTGTCATTTCATCAAACGGAAATTCTGCAGCTATTAAAGTATGGGTAATATCCCAGAAAAGTTCATCAAAGTGACAAAATCTCGATCCTCTCTTTTCAATAGAA